CTAATATTATATAACAAATTGATAACATGATAATAATAGATAACTACAATATAGTAATAAATACAACATCCCCTCATCTTACCAGACCGAATCACCGGCGCCCATACACCGGTAACAGAGCGCGTCGGAGCTGACTTAAGGTGTGGATGAACAAAAGGKGTAAACTGTACATAGATGCCCTCATAACTACAAGTCATTAAGGGAACCCGTTAAATGTAGTTAGATGTATAAATTAATTATTCGGTGGGTAAGCGGACCAGCTTCACCACAGGTCTAACAAGCGTACCTTGTCCTGTCAAGAGCTTGACTACGCGAACAACTCCATCCTGACCGGGTAATAACTCGGTTATTCTACCTAATCGCCAACATAACGGCGTAGACAGGTTGTCCTTGATGCACACAAGATCACCTACTTTGAGCGAAATATCATTGGATGTCCATTTCGAGCGTACTTGCAAATTGTTCAGATACTCAGAGGACCATCGTTTCCAGAACACTTGGTGGCATTGGTGAAGAAGCTTCCACCTCGAAACCAAACGACTGGGAGCATCCGATGCGTCTGATTCCGGAACACACAAGAGTGGCTGGCCAGTCAGAAAATGACCAGGTGTCAGACTTTCTAAATCTCCGGGTTCAGAGGACAACGGTGTCACTGGTCTGGAGTTTAAGACAGATTCAATACGACAAGCAACAGTTGCAAGTTCCTCGAAGGTTAAAGTATGGACTCCTACTGTCCGAACCAACAACTTTYTCATCGATTTCACTGCTGCTTCCCAAAGACCTCCAAAATGCGGAGCGCTAGGAGGGTTAAAATGCCAGCTGCATGGAAGATGTGAACTAACTTGGGATTGAACTGTCGAATCTAAAAAGAATTGGCGGAGCTGCTTTGACGCACCTACAAAATTCGTGCCACAGTCTGAATAGATATCCGTTGGTAAGCCACGCCGAGCAACGAATCTATCAAACGCAGCCAAGAAGGCGGGAGTAGAGAGATCCGTTACTATTTCAAGGTGAACAGCCTTCACYGTCATGCACACAAAAACGGAAATATATACCTTGTACTCCCTAGCCTTTCGAAGTTTGAGCTCTTTCATTCGAAGAGGGCCAGCAAAGTCAATGCCAACTTTTGAAAAGGGACGACACTGAACAACACGAGACGGTGGTAGGTCCGCCATGACTGGCTGTGGATTTACAGCTGATAACCGAACACAAGTCACACAGCTCTTGATCTCGATTCCTATCACTCTTCTAATCGATAGAATCCAGAATTKTTTCGAAATGAGAGAAATCATTAAACGAGTGCCAGAATGACACGAGAAAATATGCCAATGGTGAACTATCAATTTCGACAAGTGCGAAGCTTTAGCTAATAGCACCGGATGTTTCTGACGATCTGTCAGTTGAGAGTTACCTAAACGACCTCCTACCCGAACTATACCCTTAGAGTCTATATACGGTGACAACCGTGCCAACTGCTTGCTGGAGACTCTAGAATTTCGCGCTAGTTCTTGCAAAAGAGAACGAAAATAAATACCCTGGGAACATTTGACCACCACGGTTAGAGCCTCATCTAACTCACACCGCGACAACGAATCAGAATGTGAGGGCTGCCCTCTGCATCTCGACACAAAACGCCTTACCCAGGCCAGCACCCGTAGCATGTGTTGATAGGAGGAATATCTATCAAACCATTCTGAATCGATTTGATCGGAACTGATCAATAGTGACGCTGACTTGACTTCTGGGATTTCTTCTACAGGAAGCCGTGGTATCTCTGATGACCACTCATCTGGGGAGTCCAGCAAGAAACTAGGTCCATTCCAATATAAAGCATGGCGACCCAATTCTGATGGTTTTAAACCGCGAGAC